TGATAATTGCCCATGTAATAGAATACTTTTGAATGTTCATATTTAATATTTTTTTAATGGTACAGTATAAAAGTAATTTTCAAAAATTCCAGTAAAGGCGAGTATTTGAAAAATGAAATGAATTCTGTATACTACAGTATTACGATTATTAATCAAAAAAAAAACAAAGAAACAATCGATTCGCATGTTGAATAATACCATAGTAATGAAATAGTTGATATGGATCTAATCTAACCGTTTTCTTGTTACGTCAAATCAATGCACATTCACTTGACTTATGTCTGCTGATTGATCGAACAAACAAAAGCAATAAAAATAATCTAAATCAACGAAATGATCTAGTATTTGAAGAGTAAATGGTAAGAGTTATGGTGACTTTTCTTTTTCTTAAAATAGAAATTTTTTGTGAAATGATAATCGAAATAAAATTGTCGTAATAATTTTTGTCGTCTTTCTATATGAAAAACAAAGATCTACTCGAACACATCAGTACATTTATTGTTATCATTGAATAATTATAACAGATGTTGTTTTTTTGTTGAATACCTGTGTTTGTAGAAATTTGGAACTAATCTTAAAATATGCAACTCAGCTGTTTAACTATTTTCTATTCATAAGAAAATATCATTACTTAGTTAAATACTGCAGAGACAAATGTTGATTTCGATTTTTATATTCAATATTTCGATCAGGATTGGACGAGTTCGAGTCACATTTTTTTAATGAGTCTGACTGAATTCGAATTCGAAAATTGAATAACGTTAACTCGAGCCATCTAAGTCATTCATTAAAAAGAATCTTCATCTGTTTTTATAAAAAAAAAATCCAGTTTATAAGATAGAATTGTTACTTATTCATAATTTTCGTCCTAATTTAATGGATTGCATCCGAACGATTTGTTCAAGAGCTTTTTTCGATCTATATATTCATATGGTCGTAAATAGTAGCCTACAAGTATCATTGAGTATGTGTGTTTCTTGTCCTCATTGTTTTTGCTTCGACTCATTGCTGAAGAGTATACACGTATAATAAAATAAATGAAAATTTTGCATTACACCCACATCTTCATATTCTCTATCACGCTATGATATAATCGTTGGCTGACAGTATTGTTGATTACTAAAAAAAGATACTTCTGATCACTGAATTTTTCCATCATTCATTTCACATTATTTATTTCTCAACAAAGGTCGTGGATGTGGGATCATGTCTTAATCCACATTCATTAATTTAAAATGGTAATAAATAATTTTTATTGTAAACAAGTTTAAGTTTAGGTATTTGTTTGTAAAAAAGAAAATGATATTCTTTTACTGTGGTGTGAAACTGTATAAAATTGAAGAGTTGATTTATATAATTATTATTTTGTTAATTTATCTAGAGTAGTTGTGTCATTTTATTTTACGTGTGATTTTTCTTATTTTGTTTTTTTGTGCGTAAAAACTAGGAGTATAAGTCTAGTTTATGTAAACACCTTTGTTGAGGATAAGAAAGTGGAAGATAGGTGTTTACATAAACTAGACTTATACTGTTAAATTTATTTTATATTTTTATTCTTCATGCATGTTAATCTTTTTAAAGCTCAGCAAAAGACTTCTATTGTCAAATGCGTGTGTGTTATATTAGAATACACATTTTATTTTGTTAATATTTTCTTTTTATTGTCATTTTGAATTAGTATTAAATGAGTGTAAAATATTTATTTGAAAGGCTTTTATAAAAAACAATAGAAGTATTACTTAAAAAAGAAATTAATACAATAAATAAACACGAAAATATATCTGCAAATTATAACTGACATGTACATGAGATTAATAATCATATTCACCAAATATGAAGATATTTGTAGCAAAAACAATCGAATAAGATTATCATTACATTTTATTGTTTTTATGTTGCAGTATTTTGAATGCATTGTCTTGCAAAACAACCGATATAATTGGGATCCGTATCCTGGTGTACGCGAGCATTTGTAAAAAAAAACATTTCTCTTGTAGCAACAAACGATCACTGTTAACAGAATCGGTATGAATGTTTACGAGTTGAGTGAATTCGAAAATCGTGAACAAAGATATTCCAATAACTGATGCGAGCTTTGTGAAAAGTGTTATAGAAATTAATCATCAATACAGTTAAATAGAATCTGATGGTTTAATACAGCCTGGAAACATTTTTTTTTCTAGATAATGATGATGTCAATTCACACTTTATTACTATAATATTGAATTCTAACAGCGGTGTGTCGCGTGGGCAAGGGGTCGATGGGGTTGCCCCCCACCCTCTTCAATCTTGAAAATTTGTCGTTTCTCTCAAGCCGAGTTTCAGTGTTTTATTGTTTTGGTTTTCTCACCTATTTCCAAAAACATTCGGAACCCCTCTCCCTAATCCAGTCAATTTTATTCAAAAACTTCTGATCAATCTTCTAAGTCATCGAATCCCTTCGAATGCTGACGCCCTCAAAGAATCTCTGAACTCTAATAATAATACGACAAAGACAATAATTAATTATTTATATGTCACATACGGCAAAAAAAAAAATTTTTTTTGACCTCATGAAGTTGTTGTCTATTCATTTAGTAAACACTTACAACTAGTGCAATAAAGCTTAACGAATTTAGTAAGTCACATAGTTTTTCATTATCAAAAATAGATTCAGAACTAGTTAGATAGAGTCACATCAAAATCTTCGAACTCGGATAGAATCGATGGTCTTTTAAAATGCTGTTTGTTTTATTGATTTTATAATAATTGGTAAAACAACTACATGAATTAAAATGTGTTAGTATCTTTCTTCGATTATTAAATATGATAATTTTTCAATTAACATTTATATTGAAAATAATGAGATAATATTATTTCTCGAGGAAAAATGAAAAAAGTAGAAATACTGTATATATACATTTATATGTGATAAAGAAGAAAAAACGAAAATTTATTGAAAGATTCATTCCTCAAAAACAAGGACAAACATAAACACATTTTAAAAAACCAAATAATTTCAAAATCTACTAGGAATGATCATGTATTTGAATTGTTTGAACATATATATTTCCTTCAATTATACGATAATACAAATGCGATGCTACCAGAAAATATTCTTCGCTCTACTTATGATTAACCAAAAGTTTTAAGAACAATAAATAAAATTATGAAGGATGTCAGTGTGAACATGTGAAAAATGAACAGCATCCTCACCCACACCCACGCTCTACTCTATAATCTCTTTTCATTCATTGCAGCTATATGGACAGCTAATAATAGATAATTGAATAACAAGTTGACAACGTCCTCTACAAACATGTTGATATGCGTTAGTATAGTTCTCATATCTGTCATGTTTGTTTTTAAATTCCTTTTGCATTTTTGATCAGCGAAATGACTTAAAGGTAAATAATTCGAGTTTTCGATAAGAGCGGCAGAAAAGGAATTCGTTGCTGTGAAGTGTAAATATCTAGTGTGGAAAAGCATTGCCTGATTAGTGGCAGAAATAATTATCCGATTTTTATGAGATATCCATTATTTCGATAATCGGCAGTCGAAGCTTCGCATCACATTTGCAATAGAGTCAAATTCGAATGCCATCAAGTTTTTGAATGTTTTTTTTTTGACTTGAAATTATTTTCTGAAAGTGATCAATAGTTTTTCTTGAAATTATAATAATGATAGAGACATTCGAAATATCTTATTGTTTCAATATTAACAGAAAACTCACAGTATTATGGAAAATAAGTTTAGAACATTATAAGTTGTTGTTATTTTTAGAAAACTATATTTGCCATATATTTATATACAATATCAGATAGTGTTTTGAACTATTCTTTTCTAGGTAGAATCATACCAAAAATAAGCTCTTTTCATATCATAGAATTTGCTATAGGAATGCTTTGAAATGAGAAATAAAATGAGTTCTGTAGTGTCGTTCTCAGAAACACTGTTTAACGAAGTACACTCACATTTATTCTTTGTTTTTTCTATAAAAAAGATTGAATAAATGAGAAAAGCAATGAAAAAGCAGAAGTCAAAAGAATTGATAACAAGCATAAAAAAAAGAAGATCGGAAATAGAACCAACAAGAAAGCAAGAAAAAGTGATTGAATAATTAGCACAAACGACGATACAAAAAAAGAAATAGAACTATCAATTTTAATTGAGAAATCTTTTAGATCAATAAAATGTCTTTAAAATAGAAAGAAGCAAAGGAAAAGAGAATCTAGCAGATGGGATTTATAGAAGGTTGTCCAAGATTGAAGCATTGACGGACACGTTTGTAGGTCTCTACTCGAGTCAATTGACTACTATAACCTGATCCATTGTTACATTCGAGAGCGCCGTTAATAATGCGTGTCGTAGCAGCAAAATCACCTCTTTGAGCTGGCGCAGCCATACCATTTGCATTGTAGAACCATAGAGCCGTACTTACTGCTAGCTTAGGATCATTTTCTACTTTGTCCGGATCTGCAAGAAGGTCAACACCAAGACTCTTACCTGCATTATGATAGTTACATGGCCATGAGAGCTGAAACCACCCACGACCATAGTACGATTTTCCTGGTGCAGATGAGATGCTACACCAAGAGCCACTGTAATGTGAACCACAGCCTAATGTATGAAAGAAAGGTGAAATTTTTCAATTTCAACTAATTCAATATTCAACAAAGATAATCGATTTTCATTCTTTCGACTAAATGATATTCAAGATATTCTCTACATTTTTTTGTGAAAACAGTTTTGAATTTCCATGTTCTGAGCAAAATAGACTGAACAGATGTCAATGTCAACTTTATCAGTTATAAGTAGAAATGTTGAAATTTTACAAAAATAATTGATTTAATTCCATTTCACTTCTTCATTTTCTATAGTACAAATAACTTGAAGTGAATCAGTTTCCGTATTCATAGATAAACTAATAACATAGTATTCTCTGAAGAATGATGTTGTTCGATATTCAAAAACATTCATGTCATAGAGCATACTTTAGATGTCTTTATATATTGAATAGTTTAGAAAAGCATACCTGGAGCACAATATTCTCGCATAGTCTTGAGTCCATCTGTCTCATGAAATACATGTGCAAGAAAGACAGCAGCTTCATCTTTGTTCACCGGCGTCCAGCCTGTTGCCTTTAGTCCATTGAATCGATTAGTGCGTAATGCAGAATCGATCGCGTTGAATACACAGGCAAATGTACTGCTGTCAATAACACCAACTGAACCACTGTCACGAGTGTTATCATTATTATTTCCATTAGCTCCTGTGCATGGGCCTGCTTGACATCCGTTACCACAATAATCTGATCCTGTTCCACAGTAGCCCCATTTCGATCGACATTGAGTTGTATGAGGACAGGCGAGACCACCTCCATTAATACCACCATTATTATTCCCACTAGTTCCCGTACATGGGCCTGCTTGACAACCATCACCACAATAAGCCGATCCCGTTCCACAATAACCCCATTTCGACCGACAGTGAGTTGGATGAGGGCAGGCGGAGCGAACAAGCCTTCGAAGATTCAAGCTTTTCGTCTGAATCTCTTTATCGTAATTGTAGCCTTGAACATTGAGGAATATATCAGCAAAAAGAAGAGAAAAGACTAATATTGAGCAAATCATATTTATATTGGCTCTTGCGAAAATATCTTCTATATTATCTAAAGCAACAGAAAGTAAATGAGAATAACTATTCTAATAACTAGATAGAGAGAGAGAGAGATTACTTAAGCAATGAATTAGTAAGAGTAGCTTAAGTAGTATGAGATTCGATATATATTACTAAATGAAAATATGAACGATAAGAAAGACTGAAGAGTAACGAGCGTTTAAAGTACGTCAACGTAGGAATGACTAATACTATGGATTTTTTTTCACATCGACGAAATCAAAAACTAGAAGTGAAGCGAAATAAGCAGAGGGTATTAGCTTTTATACTACTGTTTGTTGTTGTCATTATCGACGAGTAAATGTTGGAACTGGGTGTTTCCCATAAGACAATTATGAGTCATGTAAATAGATGCATTGCTCGATAAGAATGTCCGAGTCTCGCTTGATTATGGGCAAAATAGGATTTCCCTCATCACTCAAGCAATCGCCATCGATGTGTCATGATCGTTGTGAGACTTACCACATATGAAAATAAGAAAAAAACCAGATGGGAAGAAATAAATCAACATAAACAATACATCATTCTCACTTTACTGTTGTTTGCTGCATTCAGCTCGATTTCATTCGATTATATTTGCACAATATGATTAAAGTTCATGTGTTTAACATTTATCATAGTCGAAGAATATTAAGAATTGAATTATACTGCCTATGATTTCAAGTCGGTTTACTGGATCTTAACTGATGCTGTAATCAATCTTTCCAGAATATGACTCTTATATTTCGTTTATTCATTACGAATGTTCTGCTCATACAAAGTTCTTCTTGACTTCAGAAAATTCTGCAATCGATTTTCGACAATATCTTTTCTAAGTTTTAGTCATATTTTTGAATTAGATCTTTCTGATAGAAAATTTCTGGAAAATTCTGGTGCAGTCTAATATCCTACATATAAACGACAATAAAATAAATAGAACCATTTTTCGTGTAATGAAATATATGTAAAAACACGATTGGATGTGTTGATGAAAAGTAACTAATCACATCTCTTACAACAAAATACATCTAGCCACTTTTTAAATGAACTGATTTTTCAAAAGTTTAATTCTTTAGCACAATAGAAGTACAGCATTATTCGAATTACACATGAAGATCGCATCTATTTGCATCTATAGCATATAACACGTTGTTTTATCGAAACTAAACATGTCTGTTATACGTTTACTAAGACTAGAGAAAGAGAACATGTGATTTACAAGGAATTTCTTCTGATGATAAAATAAATAAGTTCATGCATATGTGTCTGCATCATTTGTTTCAAGTTTTTACGAGAAAAATACATAAGTTATAGTTCCTAAAACATAAATACAAAAGACAGTTCTCGAACACTTCTACTTTAGTAGACGCTAGGATTTCATCATTTCTAGAGCCTGTTCTACATTTTTTTGAAAACTACTTGATTAAATTGACATAAACTAATCTATTGTTTTTCTCTAGAAGGCTGTTATAGTGTGACTCAGTTATATATGATATTTTCCTTTTCTCTTTCTCTTGTTATGCTATCGTACATAGATGATACGTACAACATACATGGCTTTTCTTCTTTCCTTTTCTTCTCTTATCTTCATATACATAGGGCAATCAAAAAGTAGTGAGAGTGGTACTGTAATTCCTTATAAAAAATTTTAAGAAATTTTCTCTCTATATAGTTTGATTGAGAAAAGAATACTCTATTTTTCTATACTATTTGATCATACGTCAATTAATATTATAATAATAGAATTTCAATAGAATCTATTTTTCTATCACATGGGCCGGTTATACGAATGTCTATTTTTCGTGGATAATTTCTGAATAACTTTTGATAGAAACTAGCTAGAGAGCTATGGTTTTCATCGTTTGAAAGAGGAGATGAAGATGCAGCGAATTGTATATTATACATTTTCCTAGTATGTTGTCTGAAGTTTGTTTAATCAATTTTCTAAGTGTGGAAAAATGGTTTCTTATCAAAAAAAAAGAAACAGCAAAAACAAAAACGTCTTTTACAAAAATTGCCAGAAAAATAAACTTAGAGCTTCGACTAGATTACCTATAACTCCTGAATGATTAGTTCGAAACATCTGAACCTTGTGCAGTTTTGTAGATCTTCCATTGGGAGTTTGAATACACACTTGACAATTAAGAATTCATTGTAAACACTTCACTAGGTAGGTTTCTGTTCAAAGAGGTCTATTGAAAACGTTAAAAAAGTCATTTCAAAAAATCTATAGTTTACGATTTAATGCACCTTCATTTCTTCTTTCAAACGATGAAAATCACAACTCTCTAACTACTGCCCATTTCAAAATAAAAGGCGGGTGGGTATTTTTTTAATATCTTTTGATAGAAATAAGATAGAGAGCTGCGGTTTTGACCGTTGGAAAGAGGCTTTTCCAGCGCATCGTTCCATATAAAATTGTTGAGGTTTACCTGGCAGTAGCTGTATCTATATTAATCTCACTAGTCGAACCTAACAATCAAAAACAAAAAAAAAGAAAAAGAGTTTCTAACAAAGAATAACAATCTAACTATTCATACCATGTCGAATACTTTGGTGTTGTACTTATAATTGATGCTTGTCTAGAAAAAATAGCACTTAAACGTTGAACATCAAGTTCTTGTAAAACAGATTCAAGATTTTTAATAAATGATGCAATTAATGTTGATATATCATCATTTTCATTTATATTCATTAAATATGTTAATTCAAGTATAGTTTCAAGTGAATCTTTATTTGATGTTTTTTGTGTAAATGTTGAATTTGATATTTTTCGATAGATCAAATTTTTGAAAACGACATTCCATACAATGACGAACAGTAGTTGTCATTGTTAAACAACAAAACAAAAAATTTTTTTAAATATAAATAGTCATTAAAAGAATTTCATATATAAACGAAGACGTTGTCGTAATATTCCACCATTCGGCATACTTTTTTTCTTGCTCAAATTCAGAAAAATTTCCATTATTTCCAAGTATAAATAAATCTGAAAAAAATCATAATACGTTTGACAATTTTTAATGCATCTTTAGATGATAAACTTTTCGTATTTTCTAATAATTCAATTTCATGCTAAAGAGAAAAGTAACATAATTATAAAATAAATATAATAAATATTCATACATATAGATGCTGACGTTGCACTTGCAAGTAAAGGATAATAGACTACCATATGCATTACATAATCCATCTGCCATTTGAGATATAATATGTACAACATTAGCACAAAATATTTGATTATCTGGATTATTTATTACTACAGTTATTGATCTAGTTGAATCACTAGAATACGAAAAAAAAATCAGATGATATTAATAGTTTAAATTTTAAATACTTACGATCTTCATAAACGAACATCAACTTCAATTGAATCAAAAATACTATGTAATAAACGAATATACATTGGAGAATATTTAAATTCCGATATTGTAAATGGTGATAATTGATTTGTTTTAAATACTTGACGACTAGATGTTGATTCGGAAAAATAATAAATAGTTTTTGATTCGAAATCTTTCTTATCATGTCAATGAGTTTGCCTATCCGAATCCGTAGATTTCCTATCGAAATTAGTAAATACTAAAAAAAAAAACTTACAATTTAACTTACTAATGGGTGTTGAAGCAGTTTGTTCATCGACTGGAGTTTGTGAATCACTAAGTTTTCTTGGAGAAATTGATGTTTTAGACTGAATATTTCATAAATATAATTTCACAATCGATTATTTATATAGAAAAACAAAAACAAAAACTTACTTTATTATCATCATCATCTTTCATACTTTCAACGATTTTATTAACTTTTCGATAATAATCTTCTTTAGTTATCTAAAAACAAAAAAAACATAATCATAATAATATAAATCAATTGTTTTTTTTTTCAATTTACTCGTCCATGTAAAATTGAAAGTGTATCAATCTATACACGCCATCCACCATATTCATATTTAATAGAATGATGTAATACAATTTTTAATAAATCAAATATTTGATCAGTTATTTCGAAAATGTATTTCTTGTGCTGAATAAACATAAGCAAGACAAAATAGATAGTCTTGTCAAGCAAACATTTGTAATATCATTCTTCACAAAAACAAAAAGAAAAGAATAAATATCTTTGTATATTTTCTATATATTACCTTCGATTTTCTCGACTTACAGATGCAAGTAAAATTAAATCATTAAGAAAACATAATTTAATATCATATAAATGAATATTATCAGCTGCATTTCGAACGTAATGTTGCAATTACTTTGATCATAGCTAAAAGTGATTTACATAAATTTCGATTCAAATCTATCTTTTATAAAAGTCTTATATGTTGAGGACACATTGTTCAATACTTTTAAATTTAATTTACCTGGATTTTCAATCAGCTGTAATTTCTGAACTTCGTTTTTCAACAACTAATCCGCTCACTTTTTCCACAAGTATCTATTTAATAATTAAAATTAATATTGAGATTATAGATTTATTTTCTATTTTACTTCAAATAGAACATTATATGTAACCATTGTAAAACTATTTGGATGAAGTAAAATTCGATCAGCCAATAATGAAAATAGATTATGTGATTGCATTGCATCAGTTTTTCGTCTTTAAATATTAAAAATAATAAAAAAAAATTTTTTTTACAAAAAAGAAAATTTCAGTTGTAATTTTACCTTAATCCTTGTCGCGACGATCAAATGCAGGTACTATTGTTCTTGAATGTTCGGACATAAGATTTACAGTCATATTCAATACATCAATAAGATTATCATCCTAAAAAACAAATTTCCTATATAGAAATTCTGAAAAACATTTATCATTTCTTACTTAATAACCTGTATGAAGATAATTAAGAATAGCTTGAAGTTCTTCTTCTTGAGTACCAGAACTACTTATAACAAATTGTTTTAAATAGAGTAACATATAATGTCTCATTTCAATAATTTGTTCACGTGTTAGTCGATTTCCATCTAAAATTTATTAAATTTGATTTAATCGAAAGAAATTTTCATTTACCTAAACCTTTTGGTTTAAAACTATACTACGATGAGTTGGATCAATAATCCAATAGAAATATTTTAATGTATGTAATGTTTGAATTATTTAACTTATTTATTGAATTAAATGATAGATTTCTGAACAAGTAACAAATTCTGTTGCTAAATATGTATATAAACGCATTTGAACCTAAGATTATTTATTTATTTATCTATATCATATTAATAAAATAAAACAAAACATACATCAATTGAACAATAAATCCATATAGCAGGATTAAAAAATATATGAACAAATAATTGTTTTAATAATAATGGACTATTTTTGCTTTCAATTTTAACAAAAAATGTTATTAATGATATAAGAGAATTAAGTACATCCATATTAATATGTTGTTTTGATGCCTAAAAATAAAAATCTAGTAATCATGATGTTCACTCTAAAAAAAAATTCACCAAATTTCTTGAACACTGAATCTTGCATTAGTCAAGTTTATATAATTACATCATTCAACAAGAAAAAAACTTTTACTTCGAAATATAATTGCTGCAATTTTACTTCAGCTCTTCAATGAATATCATAGTAACAGAAAAACTAATTTTCGAATTTCAACTTGAAATTATGCATAGACACAGATCTTAATGGGAATAGTTTTTTGTGTAATTTTAAATACATACTTTTTCAAGATGATATCCAATAGCGAGAAAACCTTTTGATATTGTATTGTATATGATCGTTCAGTTAATTCACATAAAGTTGATATTAATATTGAACAAACATTATAATTAATTGAATCATCTATTTGTTGATGATCTAATTGTCCATCTTTCACGAGATCAGATTTGATAAATCATATGCAGTAAGCAATACAACTTTTGGAAGGTCTATCTAATGGAATGAATAAATACTTGAAATTAGACATTTGAAAGTATTCTCTTTCGAATACTACGAATATGCAGGCATTTGATATTCATTGGCATGACTATTTTTATTGAACAATTGGTAAATACTATAATAGTTTATCTTTGATTCTGACAGATTTCGGAGATTCAGGATTTCTGGTTTAGGAAGCATCAAAGGGTAGTCTGCACAAGACTCAAGCCTGTCTAATAATTATTGTAATTCATTAAGATTCATCTTCATCTTAACAGAGCAACTATCTACTTTTCAACTGACCTTTTTAGAATTTGTGTTCGATGAATACTACACATCTGAAAAATAATACGACAATTTTTCAGCAAAATTATTTCACTCAACATTCGTCGACTTCGTTTTGGATAACTGTGTGGTTTATCCAAGAGAAAGTCGTTTAATTTCAACTTCATAATTTGATTCGAAAGTAAGAATGGTAAGGAAATCTACAGTTACATATAATAAATATTCTTTTAATTCTTTACTTGTAGTCGTGAATAAAATACTGGGTTTTTAAACTGGTTTACTAACGATCTTCGAAAGTTCTTTTGTTGTCTATCTAAATGAACAAATAAGATCAAATAGTTCCTTCTTTTCATCAGTTGTTAATCTTCTAGTTTAAATTTATTGAAAAGGAAAAAAATCTAAGTTCATCTTTTATATTCTTGTCATCAACAATTTTTAATTTTGCTTGGTGTACAAGAAAAATTAAACATTGATTTGTTGAACTTCATTTATCAGGACAGTTGTTTTCTCTTGAACGTTCTCAGCCCATTGAGCTTTCGTTTTGGAGCCTGCTATAAGTTCTTTTGTAATGTCCGTCAAGAATTGCTGATGTTCCATCACCTTTAGTAATATATTTGAACTGGAATTCTAAAGAGAAAGAAAAAGAATTTATTTAAATGGAATGACAAAAAATTATCTAGTTGAATTTTTAAAGAATACCAAAAGTGTGTCAGTAGTTTGGACTGCCATGGAAAGAATAACGAAAGTTTACGTACACACAGAATGACCGGTAGAATAAAAATGAAGTGGAAATATTTTTTCTTATTCAATGATGAGAAAGAAGAAAAAGATTCAGCCGGCTAATACGATCAGTCAGAAATAAAGTGTATATCTCTTTTTCTATCTACTCATGACCATTGACTATTTAGAAACAATGTGATAGAGACGCTTTTGTTTATAGATACAAAGAACAACCGCCTAATTCTCTTTGATAACTTCTCGAATCAAATAAAAAAAATTATATTTCGAAGAACTAAGAAAAAATATAAATATCAATTAATCCTCATCGAACTGAAGCATATTTTCAGATTCAACGGAGTTTTCTTATTTAGATCGATAGCAGTAATAACAATCAACTTACTAGTTGAGTTCGAGCACTTGCTTGTTGACCTTGAGATGGAATGATTCGATTATTATTGTTATTTGGTCGTTGATAATGATCAGCTTTTGCGCAGTCAAGTCTGAAAAACAATGGTACTATCAAGTTAATCAATTTAACAATATAGAATAATTTAGTTACACTTGTGATTGATGCTCGTAAACGACACCACAGGAACATGGATACATTTTAATGAGAAGATACTTGGATCAGTTGATTAAACAAATATCTAAAGTAAAAAAATAAAATGCATTTGTCTCCTATCAACTAAGTATAAGTGATACTGTGTGTTCGAACAAAGTATTCAAACCTCAAATCTATTGAAAGAATATCGATGGATAGATTATCGAAAGTATACGATATGTTATATCATTTGACTATTTTAGTTGAACGGTTTGTATACATATCTTCTACTCTTGTGTTCTCCTGTTCGAATCCACCTCTTAACTTTATCGAAACTAATGTAAGTTAACTCTATAATTCTATGAATTAATGTAAATCAGTATATGGATCGCACCTGCAAGTTGAGTTCTACGAAGTACTTGACGGGTTTTTTTTTTCTATCCTTCAAGGTATGCAATACCACAGATTCAGAAACACTGCGAAATGATTTTAAGAAAAAATCGTTTCGCAACGTTTATTTTAGCAAATGTGAAACGCGTTAAACCGGCCAGCATTAACGCGTTTTGCAGCTATAAAAAAACGCGTTTTCAGAACGCGTTTTTTTCGCAAAAATTTACGTCATGGGTGACTCCACCTGACTTCAAGTGACTCCACACTTGTGTGGAACCCTTACTATTATAGAAGCATGATGCTTTCCATTTCCTCATATGACTATTCAAAATAGTAAAAACATAGTGTAAGTAAAAGAGCGCGTGGATTCTCGAAGAGGCTACAGGAATATTTCAATAACCCTTTTCTTAAAAAAAAACTTTTATTTATTACTGTCTTGTGCATTTGCTTAATAAATCAATTAAATATAAAAAGAACAAAAAACAAATGGACATAGAAATATAAAATCAATCTATTACTCGATAGATAAGATTAATCATGCAAGGAAACAATAAGTGAATTATTAAGTTAAAAACATCGATTCGATATAAAACATACGTAACTACTGTATATAAGAGAACATCTAAGTAATCGGAGAAGTACAAGTAAGACGATGTTCCACGTCTGAGTCTTGTCTCCTGCCCGTTTTTTTTGCTGATTCTCTGAGGCTATATGACGATTTTATTGTTTGAACGTTTCTTTTCACTTGTCTCTTAGTTTGTAATGATGATACAAATTATATATGTCGTATCGAAGGTATACAACTTGGTGCAATTTAACTTCAGCAATAAAATTTGCTGAAATTACAACTTCAACAGAAAGTTTGTCGAAGTTCTCCTGCAACAGTTAATTAATTATTATTCATCAAAAGGCGAGCATCACCATGATGAGTCGCATATTGAAACTTCTCTTTTCAGCTAATCAATATGTATAACAATATTTATAAATATTCAAAAATTCTACAACGAAATCATTTTCCCAATTCTCATGCTACTGCTTGTTCTTGACGTTGGTATTGCTGTAGAACATGTAGTTTAGATGAATTGTTTGTTGTTATTGATCAAATCACTTCACGTCGCATCACTGAATATTTGTCTTTGTAGAACTACAATTGATTGTAGACTGTAGCACTCATATTGCAATTTTATAGTTGTGATAATGTGTGCGCTTTATTCTAACGTAGAAATATTCGAATATACTATATTGGTCATCTCTTTACACCCTTCTCTTACATATATCGGAATTATACATGATCCATTATTTTCTTATTTTAGTTATACTTGTCTTTCATTTCGCAATTCACAGTTAGTTTTACTGCATAAGATCAATTACAATCGGATATAATTAGTAATACAACACGAGAATGATGAGCATATTGTCTCATATCTATGTTTTTAAGGTGGCTGACTGCATGAAGTGCAGTAGCCGACTTATTGCTTTTCACTCGCTTAGTTGCCATGGCA